TCGGGACGTACTGAATCGAGAAGCTCAGGAACGCTGCCCCCGAGCTGCACGGACGCCCGTTCGGGCCCACGAGCGGGTACGTGGCGTTGACACGGTAGCCCGAGACTAGCTGCTCGGCGGGGACGCCTGTGGCCCCGATGATCTCGGAGCCCACGAGGTCGTTGTCCTTGACGACGAACTGGACCTCGGAGGCCCGGTGGGCCACGGGGACGTGGAAGTGCTGGGCCCACACGGGGTTCTCGTTGTCCTTGATCACGAAGGTTCGGGCGAGGACGGCGTTGGAAACGGAGACGGTCACGTAGGGGTCGCTAGTCTGGATTTTGCCAGAGAGGCTGCCGAAGAGGTTGCCCATGCTGTGGTTGAGGAGGTCCATGTTGGGGAGGTTTTTTGCCTCTTTGACCCAAATGTCGAGGTTGCCGTGCAGTAGGTGGAGGCGAAGGGAGCCGTCCGAGGAGGTGCGGAAAGGGACGTGCTGCTTCACGGCCTGACCGTGGTACGAGCCTTCCGGGTTGCTGTAATAACTGTAGTGAGCCATATCTGAATATCTGATAGCAGATCATAAATTTGTCTCAATACCCATCAAGATTCAATAGCTTCACATCAACAACAAAATGCAAAATGGGTTGATGGGCATGAGAGCAGATCAAGAGTTTCAGGAAAGAAAAAGATGACACTTGCAAGGAAAAAGAGAGAGCAGTTAAGAAACTCAGATCAACATTCATGCAAGGAAGAAAGAACTAAAAATGATCATTCAGAAATTGGGGTAATTAGTGTAGGATTTGATAACATGAAAATTATTTGAGCAGGTCTGCATGTATACATGAGATGGGGTGATTATTATGGTGAAAATGTATGTGTTTGTAAGTGTATTTACAGGACAGGTATTTAGGAAGTTTGTCTGATCTGATCAGTGATGGGAGAGCCGTTGTTCTTGGAAAATTATGCGGAATCGAATAGATCATTCATTATAACAAAAAGTTGGTTTCTGGTATTTATATGATTGTACAGATATAGTTGTATGATACATGTAGTTACATTTGGCACTGTGCTAGTGGAAACAAATAAAGATGATAAATTCAGATTCATAATAAGATTTTTAAAATAGGTTTTCTATTTTAAGTGTTTGTTTCATTATTTGGTTCCACAGTCACTGTGGTTTGAGTGAAATGGAGGCCGGGTACAAGAAAGAATTAATGCACAATGCTCTTGCAGTGAATTAATAAGATCCTAATATCAGACCACTTAATTTATAGTACTCTTGATTTCTCTTTTTGTGCTTTGATTTTAATATGTAGTGGTGAATTCTACATTCATTACACTTGTAAAGATTCAATATGACCGTACAAACTAATTAAAACTTATGAGTGGGTAACTAATCCCAAGCAAGTGACAAGATATGGGTAGCTAGAATTCATTTTGCACATCCAAATGAATCAAAATGAAGATTATATTATACATCACTTTTATTTTATCTTCTGTAGGCACCAAAAAGAGATACATCTGCAGATACAAGAATTGTTCCAACACAGAAATGAAGAACTGCAATATATCACGGGATAACCGATTAGCCATTATGCCGGATAGAGGAGTAGCATCTGATACACAGTAAACCAAAACAAAAAATGCGAGATTTTAGCCCCATTCTGAAAAATGTAAATGTGTTAAGCAGATTCCTCTAAGACAACAAAACATACATGCATCCACCATTCTACGAACCTGTGCCAAAATCCAACTGGTCTGCTCTATCAGTTAACTAACCCTTCAATCGACATTGTTTCAAAACCATACTGACATAGAAGAATGCAGAGCTTTTTTCTCGATCTTAATTTATCTTTTGCGCTTGGACTTGAGAGAAGTGGCCGACTGTGAAGTGGCGTGCCAATTGCGTTTCCTTTGGTTGATAAACCAGTTGTTTATTTGCTTCAGCTGCAAACCCGTCTGCTCTACAAGCTTTGCTTTATCTTCTTCCTGCCACATAATGTTTAGCATCAGGTTAAATATTATGTATATCTTATTGTATATTAACACATATTACTCTTCTGAGTCTCCAGTATTCATTTATTTAGGTTTAGCTAGAAGCCCAGTTGGTTTGACATTTTTGGTCATTGAATATGTATATAGTGGCCGAAATAGAAAAGGTTAAAAGGACATGCTAAAAATTATCAGTAGGCTGTTATAATTGATTATAACAATGTCAAATTTTACCGTCGGATAAGGCCACTTGGAATGTTGCTGCCACCAGTTCTTAAGCACGCTAGTAGTGTCGCCTGGTAATTTCCCGGCCCTTCGTTTTCTCAGTATTTCCTCTCTCACGTCTTCAATTTTCGACCTGAATCCCTGCATAGGAGTATCATCTTGTATAATATAACATACATTAAAAAAAATCATTTATTTACACAATAAATGTGAGATACTGATTAAAAAACTGCATCTCGCGATCTTATTAAGCTGCCAATGCATGCTCTATGACGGTCAATAGACTTCTAGAATCTCCAATAGCAGGTGAATATTAAAAATGGAAGTTTTAAACCGTGTTAA